TTTAGCAATATGAACTCAACGTGCACGTGTGTAGGAAACCCAGTATAATTTGTCCATGCTGAACTCCATTCCATGTTGGTCCACTGAGTTTTAGGAAAAGCTCTCAAAAAAGGAGAAACGAGAGCTGCAATGCAGGCACACATAATATACCGGAAAAACATGACCAATCCCTCACAGAAGCATTTATAACTAGGAATCAGCTGGAGTAGCATACTCACGTATGGAGGGGTCCGACATGATCACCATGACGTACGTGTTGGACGTGAAGACGTCAATAAATGCAGCAAAGTTGGAGTTCCGTACCTCCATGCTCTGGAAGGAGGCTGCCAGTTTGCTGTAAAAGGAATTAATGTGCAATAAATGTACAACTGTGAAGCATTCATGATGTGTTTGCAGTAGACACAAGGGTACGATGAGACTTGATAATATCTGACATCCACACTAATAAGCTTATTTTAAAATGCATAAATTTTGCAACGTTTTCAACCAAACATCCACATTTTGAACCCCTAAAATGAAAACTCCTTTTGAAAATGCTACTGACCCCATTTTAGTTTTAAAACCCAGGGCTTGAGTTTTAGTGAGAACAGGCAGAAACTGAGACTTTTGAAAGTGATGATGCAGAATAGACAGTTTACACTGGCTTGCGCATGCCCAGTGCACATGAATGGTCACGTGATATGCATTTTCAGACGTGCTAGTAAGGACGGAAATGATTTCTAATACAGTGCTGAACGCCATTGTGTCGACGGAGAACGTTTTTGTCGTAAACACTGTTTAAAATGAAAAAAATTTATTCATATGGGTGCAGCCTGTGCCTTGTCAATCATGATCATCTCAAGAAGGGACTCACCTGCAGCTCAGTTTAAACTGCTTAATGATGTTGCTGATCTTTTCAAAACGGTGGGCATCACGCTGTTCTTTACACTGATAGTGAGAGATCACCTGAACACAAAACGGCAGCAACTTTACCTTCAGGTTTATGACATAAAATAAAGCGTTACAAGATCAGCAAACAAAACTCAAAAACAAACACAAAAATGGGACCAGTGGTCCTGTAGCTTACCGGCAAGCAATCTTACAGTGATGATGCAAGTTATAATTTCATGTGAAGTTTGACCTTCAAATCATTGAAGGTCAATGTCAAGATCACTAAATAAAAGTTCACATTTATAAGACCTCCTACATGTCTGGAATACAATCCTAAGCTCTGAATCAGTTTTGGCGAAACAAGTCACTGAAAATTCATTATGTCAATAGTGAACTTTAAAAGGTCACAGGAGTTCAAGTTGAGGTCACCAAATGAACTTCATAAAGGACTTTCCAAATGTCTCGAATACAAACCTTGGTTCTATCTGTGACCATTTTGGTGAAACAAGTCATTGTAATTTCACTATGTGGAGTTTGACCTTCAAAGGTCACTGCCAGTCAAGTTGAAGGTATGTCACCAATTGAAAGTTTATACGTGATTTCCTAGATGTCTTTATCACAAACCTAGGCTCCATCTCTGACCATTTCAGCGATACGAGTCATTGAAATTTCACTAGGTCACATTTGACCTTCGAAGGTCAATATGAAGGTCACCAAATGAGCGTTCATATCATCAAGGCTACAGATGTGTTTGCGCGTGGCTTTCTGCTATGTTTGAAAATTGCACGGGGTTTTCTCTAGTGTACAGTAATGGATGGGAGAAAGCAGTCAAAAATATCAGGCTACTTTATTCAAAGAAGCCGGCCTACTTCACCATCTGCGCCGCCTCCTCCTCCGCCACCTCCACAGCCACAGCCCCAGTCCTCTAAACATCGAGGTAGTGGGTGAAACCCAGAGTGGGCTGTGGACCCGAAATATTCAGTTGGCTATATCACACATAACACGGTGAGTGTAGCATTAATCTTTTCTCAAGATCTCGTAATTACGAGATAAGGTGTATATTTTTTTTTTATCCTGTGAATGCAATGCGCTTCCGTACATAATACCGTTCTCCTCTCCCCAAACATACCCACAACCGCAAAGCATTTGGGGAATTAAAGTCAAAACAGATAACAAACACAATTTCCGTTCTTACATTAATTTTCGTTTAACCCTTAGGGACGGTTACGCGCATTTTACGCGCTTTTCATTCTTCTTTTTTGATAATTTTGGATGTGTTCATGCATGTAGCATGAATTTTGGTAGGATTGTGTGTTTTTATTTGATCTTGTTATTTCCAGCTCAGCTCTTACAGTAAGGCTAAAATACACTGTGTACAAGCAAGTGTTACACTCAGACTGTTAAGCGCAAAAAAATGTGCCATTGAAACCCATTCAAACTGCAATTTTTGATCTCACTTCCATGAAAGCATAATACATACATTTTATTATATCTGAGTGTCAATCTGGGCTTTTGCCTTGGAAGTGAAAATTTTTACTACTGGGATGTTTATTTATAAAAACTTTGTAATAAAGTTACAAGACTGTTGACTTTGTCACTTTGTTATTGCACTTTAACTGCTTTGTTTATTTATAAAGAGTAAATAAACGCTGGCTGTTGCCCCCCGGTCACCACCTTGACTAACCAATTTTCTGCGGGAAACCCTGTGTTGCATCTCTTTTAAATTCAAGAGCAAATTCCACAGACCCTGGCCTTAACTCCACCAAGACGGTAATGTTTTACTTTCAGTTTCTAGGTATGTTTTTTTGTTGGTAAGCAACATTATGGAAAAAGTTATGAGCAGATTTTTATGAAATTTTTAACCATAAGGTGTGTCTTGGCCCAACTTAAAAGGGATTTCATTTTTGGAGTAATCCAGATCAAATTTTGGATCCAGGAATTTTTCCATTTACTCATGTGGTGGTACAACAAAAAACACTACTCATGTGTGTCCCACAAAGGTGAAGGACTGTTGGGCCTTGGTAAGGCATGTCATCACTGAGCGCTTTTGTTATTTGAATGAATTCCTAGCCTTTCCACCTTTCCTACAGCAAGAGAATGTGTCCTCCAGTTACTCTCCCAAGCTTACACTGGCCCCTTAAACTAACAGACTGAATCCTAAGTGACTCTCCATGACCTCAGTAATCGTGCACAGTTCCCCAGCACTCACCAAAAAGGTGGCCCTCTCGAACAGCAGAACTTCATCAGCCTCAATGATCTGTGCAAAGTTGCACAGGTTAGTCTCCAGCTGCTGCACATTAGGTATGAGCTCGTACACAATGCTGGACCAGGCCTGCACAGAGGGACCAAATGGTTACCAACAATACAAATACAGAGCACATACAGACACATGAACTGACACAATGCATTACCACTTTACCTTGTACAGAGTCTCATCCCAGATGGACGTCCTGAAACAGGTGCATGCCAGGGGGCGAGACAGTCTTTTCAGATCCTCCTCACGCTCCTTAAATATCTGAAACCATTTAAGAGCAGATACCGAATGCTTCTACCTCTGTGCATATGATTTATGAGCTGGTGAGTTTATTGCACTGTCTAGCTAGCTGTAAGCATGTATAGCGTTCATCACATTCACACAAAAACTGACAGATTTCTCATGCATGTCAATGACAGGGCATCAAACACTGCAATGAATTAAATTCAGACAGCAATATTCGAAAACTGCAGGTGGCAGTTAAGATTTTCCTGACCAATAAAGACATAAAACTGACTCGACTTGCAAAAATATTGACAAAGAACTCACTTCAAGATTTTCCAATGGAACAATAAGATGCTACCTGTCAGTGGTAACAAAAAAATAAAAAACAACCTAATGTGTAATACCCAGTAAAAAAAAAAATCACCAAGACCTGACACCCACCGCCTTGGATGTTGCTGAAACTCAAATAGATGGTGTACACTAATGAAAGAAGCAATTTCATTGGGGCTGACACCTTCTGGTCAGTTAATCGATGGTCAGTATGCTCTTGCAAAACCAAATTCTCAATGGTCAGACAATCGCTGAGGTTACTTTTATAAAGAGAAAAGCACTTCCTCCAATAGTTCCAAGATTAATCCATTATTTTTGGGGGCATGACAGACACAAACAGAGGTGACATATTATTTTTGAGTGATAGGCTATGTTGTGTTAGACATGAACACGCACATATTTTATATATATATTATATATATATATATATATATATATATATATATATATATATATATTTTACTACACAAGCATGTTTCGAAATAAATAAATCGGTTAAGACAGGAAGTTCAAAACAACCCCGTTTTCATTAATTTGAACTGTCTCAATTTAATGATTCTGATAGGCCTCCTGCTACATTCGAGATGTCCTAGAAGCTGGGAATAGTCCCAAGTTCCTGTGTGAATAGTGGCCTCAAATGCCTCTCCAATGGGAATTCCCACTGTGGAGCTCCAGTATAATTTCTGAACTCTCAGTTCACAGAGTCAAATATTTTATTAAATATTTTGTTAATATTACTCTTAAAGTGCTTAATTTTTACTCATCCTATCCCTCCAAAAGTTAATCATTCATTATGTAGCTGACAAATGACCTTCAGCAGGACTCAAGTATCAGTGAACTCTTTTGACGGTCATTGCCAACTAACTGACGTTAACCAGCTATCAGTTGAATGAAGTGCCTAAAGTTTGCTAATGCTGGGGAGGCACATAATATGAAATGTTGAGTAATAAGAATGGTACAGACAAATTCCCTTGCGTCGTTTTTTTGCTGATGGAGCTCTCGAGCATCCTGCTGGGAATTCGCAATTTTAAACTGGGAACCTTCCAGTTCCAAGTCTCAAATGCAGCTCAACTCGGCTCCAAACTAAATGAAATCATGTCTCAAAGGATGACAAAAAAATTGAGATTGAACTTTGCACGCAGCAGCTTCCAAATCACAACTCAACAGTAGACATAAGTTAACTACGTCAACTTGATCCTCAAGACCACAATGCACGACATATTGTCACAATGAACATTTTGGAGATCAATTAATTTTCTGAAGACACAGCGTTTCGATTCCAGATTGGAGTCATCTTCAGCTTGCAAACCGCTCTCAACTGAACTCGGTAGCTCAGTTGGTAGAGCAGCAGGACGGAATCCCCAAGTCATGAGTTCAATCCTCACTCGGGTTCAGATTTTCTGATCTGGTCTTGAGCAGTGTCAGTATAAATTGGCAAGATATGTCGGGTAGTATGTTATGGCAAATCTACAGGAAAATTCATCAGGCCAAAAGAAGTTCCAGGCAATGGACGCCACACCATAACAATAGCTTATCGGCCCGGTAAGCTAAAAATGACCAAGTATACAGGTTAAGACAAAAAACTAAGCCATACATGCTCTGTCAAGTTAACAAACGGTTTTGGGGCCTCACCAAGTCCCTCTGGTCCTCCTGTACCAGATCCATCTTGTGCACTAGACAGAAGACCTTTGCATCGGGGGAGTTCTGCAGGATAGCCTCTAAGCAGGACTGATAGTAGTGCATATCTTTCTCCAGCTCGCGACTCTCCACATCAAACACGTATATTAGTACTTCAACATTACGGAAGATGTTGTCCCTCTGGCTAGTGAAGTAGTTCTCCATGAAGGTGTCCTGCCTTTTGAAGAAAGGGAGATGGGTCTATCAATAAGTACACTGAACAAGCAAAGCCGTTGACTCCAAGGACTGCTGGCTGCAGTTTAATCACTGATGAAAAATTTTGCCAAACCTCAGGTGCACCAGGAAAATCCCAGTGGCTGTATAAGCAGGGCACAGAATGGGAATAAAAGACACTAGCTCAATGGCTAACATAAACCCCTTAAACTTGAAATTTTCACTTCTGATGTTTTCCCTTAAGTAGGTTCAAAGTCAGTAAAACTTTTTTTTTCCTTCAATTGTAGGACAATGTCACAGACATATTCTGTATCTGCTGGTTACACTGCTTCACTGAAGCCACATCACACTTATATTGGAAAAAATTTTCATAGCCCAGACGCTATATTTTATGGCCACGGTATTACATCAAATGGAAAATATTGAGGTCTTCTACATCACTTTATACACGTTCCCATAATTTAACATGACATATTTGGGATTGTTGGAAACCTTGGGAGCTCCACTAGAATTTCAAATTGGCCTGAAGTTCCATTCGGTTTGGAACAGCAGCTGCATTTTAGGGACCAATATTTGGGTCCGTAAGTTTAATGAGGTTAAGAATACAGACCACTTCAGCATGTGACCGTAATACAGCTGTTATATTGGGCACATGACTTTGAACCTCTTTACCTATAACTCACTGGATTCACTTTGTCAGCTGCCCTGGATACTTTCATACGCCAAATATGCCATACTACAGCAATGATTTAACATTTAGATACGATTGTCCAGAGCATATTAAAAGGTGCCCTGTGTAAGAACTGAGGTCAAAATATCCAAAAAATGAGCTAGACACAACTAAAGAATGAGAAGAAATAAGGGCAATGATGTCAAAAAAAAAGATGACAAGGTATAGTGCTGCAGAGATATCAACCTGAATTAGCACGCCAAATCACTAGCTGCGCACCGTCCTGTGTCATAATACCAGTTTCTGCCATTGGGTGGCGGTATGCAGGCAACATAACAGCCAGCCAAACTGCAGTGCATTTAATAAATCGCGACGGCTTGAGGGTGATTTTGAACCTGATGTCAATCGTATGGAAGGTACATTAGCTAAGAAGCTTGAAATGGCTTTGATGATACTGAATCCTAAATGAACGCATGAAACGTTAGGCATAAAAACTTTGCATAATGTAATAAAACATGACAGAATGTTTAGTAGTGACTAATGATACTTGATTGCTAGAGGAGGTCTTGCTAATGAAGACTGCATATCAGGCAAACTGGATGCATGCTGTGAAATTATCATCAGGCGGGCGGCATACATTCTAAAATGATCTTGTCCCCAGTTTTACTTGTACATGTGCAGCTAAAATTACTTCATAATTTTGAACTCCACTATAACTGTTTTGACGACATACGGTAAAGTGATGGTCAACCAACAGTGGCGATCAACTGAATTTGGGATCAGAGACTGGCTATGATAAAGTCCGGCATTAGATTTATTCACGCAAATGCTGGTTCAGCATTAGCGCTTAACATTAGCTAACGCTACGTTGACGCTAGCTTGCTTAACAGCAGTGAATGTTATCTAGCTAATGAATTTATTTCGAATGAACAATGACACGTGAATTGGACATATTTACTAGATCGGGTGAAGGGGAGTAGCTTGAGGACGTCATAGCACAGAATCACTTGACATCAACTGACGTTCGTTCATGTGTTTATATCTCAGAGTTTTGGAGTCAGAGCGGCCCTGTTTGGATTATAAATAGTCGGCTATGGGTCGTTGGGAAGGTGGGGGCGAATCATGGACAGTAGGCTTGATGGGAGGAGAGACTGTGCCGTTTCTCGTCTGTTATGCTAGGGTAGACCAACTCACTTTCTGCAGGTATACTGCCCCCTTTTTCTTTGGAGTGTGTAGAGTATGAATTTAATTTTTGGCTGTCCATTACACAGGGCACCTTTAAAGATAGCTCAGGATGGCTTTGAACATTAAATATGTGAAGTGAACCCAACATAACAGATAGAGAACAATGCAGAAGGAGATGAACAAATGGTATGGCATCGTCTTACCCTCCACAATCCCAAAGGTTGAGCACCAGGTTTCCAAGAAACCGCACATGAGAATGCTCCACATCAACTGCAGAAGAAAGAAGAGCGATAAGCCATAAAACAATGCTGCTACAGTTTAATCCTATAGATCAACAATTTACAAAATTTACAGGTAGGGGTTTTTGTGCATCGACATCATGTAATTTTGCACGGCTTCTCAAGTGCACAGTATGATGGTGGCAAGTCTGGAATTCCGGACAGCATTCAGAGAACAGCAGCAGCCCTTGTACAATTTATCAGGGCTCCATAAATCTGGGCCCTGAATCAAAATCCAACCCTGGTTTTCTCTCCTTCCTGGAAATTAAGTGAACAACTAGCCAGTCCAATCACTCGCAGCTGCATGGCTGTAACCCCCGAAAGCCTTTTTTGGCATTCAGTCAATACTGTCGCCACGGCAAAGAAAATCGATAGGTGTCATAACTGAAGAATAACACGTCCATACCAAATATGAAAGTAATTGGTCAAAAATAACAGCCCGTAGAGCGTTGACAAGAAGTGTTGACGGACTCGGACGCAACGGAGACAACAAGCATGAATGCATAGCAGCCGCAGGACTTCGTCCGGGGGCTACCACTATTTCTACTGATTGACCAGACTGTCATCATGCCTGACTCCCAGGTAATGGGAGGGTGGAAAACCAGATGATCTTGGCCCTTGAGGACCATGATTAAGGAGCCTTCATTTCTTTATATTATCCGAGGTTTGGACTACCACAGCACCTTTGTGGAGATCCTAAAATCACCCACCGCCCAGCTCAACAAAAAACTCCCCTCAATCCAAGGGGAGCATGAGGTCATTGAGTGTGATCCTGCTGAGTGTAATAAACTTTCACAGAGTAGCACACATTATAAAGTTGGCAATGACGCAAACACATGCAGCAGTGGCTCCGGGAGATGATCTCTGCAGAGACGGACAGGGGAGGCCCACACAGCCCCAAGGCAGTCCCCAGAGTAGCCTAGTGGTAGGTTGCTTGACTGGTAGCTTGCTTGACTGGTAGCTCAAGAGTTGGTGGTTCAAGTCCCCTGTGGGATTAGGGATTCTGACTTGATTTGGAGAGATGAAGTTGGGAAGAACTCTGCCATTGAACCCTTGAGCAAAAAGCCCGGCACCCCAAAATTGCATTTCTCTCAGTCTTTCCTCACTTGCAATTTTTCTACCTGAAATCTCTCCCATGGTGTCCTTGAAAAAGAGAAGCATGTTCTCCATCAAATTTCCCTGCTTAAATACAAGGTAAAAAAATGGTTTTGGAACTCTAGCTAACATGTGCAGAAATTAGGCAGATGTATACATGCTTCACAAAACCAAGAAAGCTGTGGCCATGTCTCTGCTCCGACTATCTTGCCTTCAATGCTGTAATACTCACTAGAGGTGGGTGTAAGGCAATTGCAAATGTCTGCGTGCAAAGACTAGGTGCCTGGTGCACCACACAGTAACACTTCAGCCAAGTTAAAGTGGGCTAAATGGGAAAGAGGGACTGGGGTGCCTGACAGTGTCAAGATCTAATCCAAGCCTGCAAGCAACAAAATCCACTGCCGCTGGTCATTCACTCAGGCTAGGTTAAGTTCCAAGCATTCCTGGAAGAGCTCTCCGCCGAGACAGCGAGGGCAATGATCATGTCCGTCCATAACTTCCAAAGGGTTTGCGCAGGCAGGGCATACGGTCATCTCGTTTGAAGCATGGTGGCTACAAGAGTGAACTGACAAGTTGTCATCCAAGGGCTTTCCAAGCACAAGCATGTGCTACTACAAGCATAGCCCACATGCCCTATCCAGCACAACTAGGTGCTCAAAGTGCAAGGTGGGATTAAGGCACACTGGCAGAGCTTGCACCAGTTTAGGGCCTGAACACAACCACAACACTGCAACACTTGTTGTGTCATATATATATATATATATATATATATATATATATATAAATAAAAAAAGTGGTACTACATGTTGAGGGTAGCACATGGTTATTTAAACTAGGGACTTGGGGGGCAGGGAGGTTAGTGAGTGTTATACAGAGGGAAATGCAGACTGCCCTGATGGAAGCTGACAGCGCTACATGCACTATAGATGATATATTTTTAAAGTAACAAAGCATAGTGGGGGGCTGGGAGAAGCAGGCACATGGGTAAAGGGGAAGAGCATTCTTAATAACCTGAAATGTTTTCATTTAAATGCAAGAAGCATAAAAAATAAATTTCCAGAACTTGAGGCAATTATGATTAGTGAGGGCTATGACATAGTTGGGATTACAGAGACATGGCTTAGTGAAGAGGATGGAGATGAATATAATATAGAGAGTTATAAGCTCTTTAGGAAGGATAGATGCAACAGGCGAGGAGGGGGTGTAGCACTCTATGTGAACGAAAACATAAATGTGCAGGAAATTCCTGAAATTGAACATTCCTTTCCCTGTGAAGATATCTGGGTCAGGCTCACTGGCAAACACGAGACTGGTCTAAACATAGGAGTATGCTCTCGACCGCCAGCTTTGGACAGTATTGTCAATGAAATGCTCTTTAAGAGGATTACGCAAGCTTGTAGAGGAGGAGGGACTATTATTATGGGAGACTTCAATCATCCTGGTATCAATATGGAAATAGTGAAAGGACAGGGTAAAGGGAAGGAAGAATTTCTAGATGTTAAAAATGACAATGTTTTGGTGCAGTATGTTAGTAAACCTACAAGAGAGAAGGCAATTTTAGATTTAGTGCTCTGTAATGACCCTGATTGAATTAGCAATGTTGAGGTACTGGAGCCACTTGGGACTAGTGATCACTCTGTTAATTTTGATGTTTCATGGGAAGTCAAAAAAGTGTCTTCTAAAACCAAAATTTTCCATTTTAGGTGAGCAAACTGACAGGATGCGCTCATATCAAAGCAAAATAAAATGAGAGACAGTCCTGGACTGTGAGTCTGTAAATGAGATGTGGGAAAGATTTCAGGGGGTTTTACTTGATTCACAATGAAAATTCATTCCAAAGGTGTCCAAAAGTAAGCTGAAAAAGCAGAATCCTCAGTAGATGACCACAGCTATTCGTAGGAGTTTGAGGGAAAAGAGGAATCTTTATAAGATGTACATAAAGGATAACAATGACAATACTAAGGCTGAATACTGTAAAATGCGGGCTGTGGTATTAAAAAAAAAAAAAAAAAAAAGCTGAGGAATGCCAGAAGACTACAGGCCAGCAGACAGTGCCATTTCTACGCAAGATTATTGGGAGAAATACATGAGACAGACACGAGAATATCGTGACGCAGCGTAAATGTACGAGTCACATATATCGTGCGTAGGAAAAGTAATAGGCCTAGTACCGGTGATAATTTGCATTTCAGTGCATTACATCGGCAAAATCTATACGCCAAACAAATATCAAACTAATAGGCCTAATTACTGTACACTTAACCAATTCCAACTGAAGGAAAAAAGACATGGAATGTGAGCTCTGTCGTTTTCAGGATACTGCAACAAGGCATCGCTTTCAATATAATTTGACATGTGAATTGATAGATTTGTTGCTTTATTTATGACACAATGAGACGTGCACAGAAAACATTCTACGGTGCATTTACAGTATAAATGTTTAAGAATAAACCAACATCGTCAAACAGAAAGCTATTAAACAGCAAATATAATATGAGTTATCTCCCTCTACCACATGACCTGATGAAATGATAAAACAGTAAAGGCCCGTTCACACATAGACGCCGCTTCTACTATGATGGAAAAGTGGCCGAGAGCATGGCTAATCGTGGGGGAATCTCCATGAGCGTGGTTTGGTCGGGTGGTATCTCCTAGGTCGGGAAGCTGCACATCCTTGCTCTCCCCACGCTTATTTTGAACGTGCACAAAACAAGCGAGCCGGTCGTGGCCAACAAAAAGCGGGCAAAGTCTTATTTATTAAGAACGAGGGGAACGCAATTATCGTAAAGCAGCGTGATAGCATCGTGGTGAGATCTCTGTGGTCGTAATAAAAACGCAGCACCGTTGGAGCACAGCCAGTTGAATCAAATCAACATCAGGTCCGCTCATCTTCGAAGTTGGGAAAGAACTGAAGAAATGCTTGAACACCCGATTAATATATACTGAGCAACCAAATAAACGCAAGTTAAAGACAGACCGTAAAATAAGTTTGCGCATAATTATTATAGAAAATCAAATTTATTACTAGCGCGTGCACATTTACACTCGTTTCATCAAACTTTTTTTGTTTTGCGGTCACTTTGACTGAGTAACCATAAGAGTACATTAACTAACTAGCTAACTTGCGTTTCTTTTGTTGCTCAGAATAGATGTAACCCTCGTTTCTCGAATTTAGGTAGCGTGTTCCAGGTCGCCGGGCTGTGGAAATGAGCGCTGCAATTGGTGGTACTCAAATCAATCTTTAATCTTCGTTCTTCGTTAATCACACCAACACAGTACTGTACAGCCAACGTTACATCCAACAAGACGGACTGCTCAACTCAATCGTTTTTTCTGCCACTTCCTTTTCCCCCATCACGCCCCTTCTTCCCCAATAAACAATTATAAGTAGGAACTAATATTCAATCGAAGCAAGAGGACATAAATTATAACATAATTCAGTGCAGAAAATAATTGCATACATTAAATAGTAAGTACAATGACTTTTGCTTACTGTATTGTATTTTCTTCACTCACTGTATTTAACTTGCACATCACAAAATCAGTTGAGCAAGTATAAGATACTACAAAGAAATATAATGCATACAGTAATTACAATTACATAGACATCGCCAACAAATCGTACTAGAAGTGTAATATGGTCAGCACCAGTGTAGCGACATCGTCCTACAGTCTTCTAGGTCTGTGTAACAACGTAGTATGGTCCTGTACATCGTAGCGGCAACGTAGTAGAAACGACTGCTTGGTCAGCATTGGTCTGGGTGTAATCGTAGTGGCAGCAAGTCAGCAGCGCTTTCGACGTAGAAGCATTGCAGTACAGTCGTGATGTAGTCTTTAATTTCCCAAATTGCTGGATTTTGATGGTGATAATGCCCCGATTTGATAACTTTTTCAGATCGGGGTGATCGGCATGGTCTTCGTACGGTCGCAGAGCTGTGTAAACGAGGTCTAAACAGGCTGAAATAAATGCAAAATTACAATCTACATGTATGAAGCACATTATGTTTTATTCAGACCAGCGGTACATATATACTGAGATTTTCAAAGTGATTCTTCAACCGCTGCTGGATATTGTATACTCTTCTTCAGCCAACCCTCGATTTTCACGGATTAGTGATTAGCGATTACCAACAACAACGCAGCAACGCAACAACGTATTACATCCATTAAATCCACATATGAAAAGTAATTCTCAGTAACAACTGTGCATAGGCCTAATTCGGACTACATTACGTCGCATATTTGGCAGACTCTAGGCATATGTGAGTAGGTTCGGCGGCCCGCCGACTGCAAAGCTTGTCTCAGCAGAGGTTGATAATAGCACGGGACATAAAGAGGAGATTATCGCGAGAAATCCACCAGAGTTACACGAGACGTCTCGTGGGAATTAGGCAGTATCTGCTGGCCTGAACGGTATATGAAAGGCAAATTGCGGAAGGGCAAAAACTAATCCTAAGCGCTTCTTTCAGTACTGTAGCAGAAAACGGAAAGTCAAAGAGGAGGTTAAGTGCATTAAGAATAAAGATGGATCGCTGCTACATGATAACAAGGATATTGCGGATACCTTAAACAGTTACTTTGTTGAGAATTTTACCTCAGAGTGGATTTTATTAGGCCAGAGGGCATGTCCAATGCTCAAGATTATTTAGCGGAAATTGAGGTTCGGGATAATGAAGTATTAGACAAGTTGCATAAAATAAAGGCAGATAAGGCAGCAGGTCCTGATGGCTTATATCCTAGAGTGCTCAGGGAAGTTAGTGACATCATCTTTAAACCGCTCTAAGCTATCTTCAGACGGTCTTTAGAAACTGGAGAAATGCCAAATGATTGGAAGCAGGGCAATATAATACCAATATATAAGAAAGGGGACCATACTGCGCCAGGAAATTACAGGCCAGT